CAAGGCCCTGACTGACTTCAAAAAATAATTTAAGGGCCGGCCCCGTGGCGTGCTCGGGAGACTGCGGCGCTGGGAGTGCGGCGACGCTCCCGCCGTGGGTTCGGATCCTATATAGGACTGGCCAGTGCGCTCACTGGCTGAGCGCGGTGCGGGCAATCCCATACCAAGGGTTGTGATCCCCTTACCGGTCACGAAAAAGACAATAATAATAATAATAATAATAATTTAAACATGTAATAGGCATAGAAAACAAAGCATACAGAGGTTTGCGAAATTCTTAAATTTGTGTCTGGAGAAATTATGCATACCTGTTACTTTGCAGTCATTTCTCTTTTTTTTAAGAGAGAAAGTCCTACCTCTTAGAAACTTAATGAGAAAAGCTGTAATTGAATGATATCACCGTCAATAAATAACCTGTTATAAAATGTGGGGTCAAGACCCCTCCTTTCTTTTGATACAGTTCACAGATTGTGTGCATAAAGCAAAAACACAAATGGCTTCCTTTATTGACTGTTCCTCCTTAGATGCAGGAGGATGCAATGGGGTCGAAGTGTTTTAATTTACCAACTTTTGAAATAAGAGAAAAAACTCAGAAACAGATGACTGGAAAAACCCTTATAAGACAAAAATCTTAATATTATCTTGGTTTTAAAATAAAAAAGACTTTGTTGTAAAATCTCTTTGACTCATTTCTCTCTCTCTCATGAATATGTGCTTCACTGCTTTATAAAATAACCAATTGATTAATTAGGGCCTGGTAAAGAGAAGGTAGTCTCCCCTGATCTTGACAAGGACTATTTTAACACTACTATTTCTGAGATACCCTCTAAATGATCTTACCTTTGCAAAAAGACTTCAACATGCCCCATATTAAACTGCAAAAGGTACAATGGGCTGAAATAGAAACAAAACAACAGGAAAAATTATATATACACACACATACCCATATACATACACTTTTGAGAAATTTTATACACATACATACTGTTATAGTTGGAACTGTGTACCCCCAAAAAGATACACTGGAGTCCTAACTTCCAGTA